TTATAAATAATTAAAAGTAATTATAAAATTATAATTATAACTACAAAACTGGAATATCGAAATAAAAAAAATAGTTTATTCAAAAATAGAAAAAATATCGTAAAATATGAATTTAAAAACCTTTTTTTGCAATTTAAAAAAATAATATTCCTAATCTAATTCAATTTTTTTTCACATTTAGGATAGAAATAGTACTAGGCGATATGAATATATAGAATATGAAAATGGTCTTCATTATGGAAATTCAAAAACATGTCTTGGAGGAACAACTAAAGTCGACAGCTGGTGGCGATGGCTTTTCTGGCATTGTAGCTACTGTTTTTGCTACTGCGATGATCAAAATTCGAGTTCCGATCGATATTTCAGTCTCCGATCTGTGATGTCTGATATTTCAAACAACAAGTAAGTATAGCCAATAACTTGAATAATAAAGATCAACACGAGTAAAATTAACAGAATTAATAAAATTTAATAAAACATAATAAAATCAAATCTACAAAAGTATAGCTGAAAGTATAATACTTATTTTCTTATAGAATCATAACAGGAATAAGACTGAGAAAGATAAATCAAATTATTCATATACAAATCCAAGAGGGTCAGTTACTTCCACGTGGAGAAATTGATGTATCAACAATCGAATGGCAATCGGTCGATGCCTTTTCAATCATGGACTCTCATATTAGAAATGGCGTTGACTATCATACAATAGTATGGGAAAAACGCGCTTTAGATCTCGATGATTTGTTGGCAGTACCAGATCATCTATTGACAGGTAATTCGAAATTGATTTTGGTTAATACATACATTTTGCGGATCTGTAACGCGAATTTCTTGGGCTAAATATAAAGAATTCTTTATAAATATATATAATATAATATATAAAATATATATAATATAATACAAAATCTATTTTAGGCGTTAGGCTCCGAATGGTTGGTAGCCGTCTAAATTTGGAAATAATGATAACTCCATTCAACTTCACATCCGGATCGTTAATTCAACCTGAAGAAAAGAGCTTTTGGCATAGTAATGATGTTACTGACAGGTGAAATTTTTCTCTCTTTGTTATCATAATAAAGAAATGTAATCTTTCTGATGACACTAAAAATTGAAATTAAATATTTTTGTTTTTAGAACTGAGCTGAAATACACCGATCCCGATATACCGATTCGCAATTTCGTACCAAACAAACCGGACACTGAGGAGAATCAATATTTGAACTTCGCACCGAGCGATCGACGAAAGGACGCCGCACAAAGTACGATTCCCTTCCTTGATGTTCAACCAGTCATACCGAATCCGCCGGTGCCGCTCGCGGGCGCCGGTATCTTTCACAAAGGTCGAAAGGGTTCGGGTGGATTCGTTGCTTTGAAATTAACTACCTACGACTTCGCGCCACACTTACAAGCTGATCTGCCATCAGCACCGCCGATTCTCGAAACTCCGAACGAGATAAAAGCCACGTAGAAATATTATATCTTTCATTTTATCGAAATAACGATTAAAGAACCTGTGATTTGCCAAGGACTTCAATATACATATCGAGGTAAAAGAAGATATGTACCGAGTTATTGCATACGAAATGTTGACTTTCGAATATTTCAGCTTTAAGAAAAATTTATTGAAATTTTTGAATAAAGTATAAACACGAAACAAAAAAAATAAATATTGGAATTTAATTTTGAAATACGAAACATAAAAATTTCTTTAAATAAAATTAAAAATGTTTTTTTAATTCTTTCCATTTTTAGATTCTATTTACATTCAATCAAAATGTAAAGGCAACTTCTAAAAATTATTTAATTAAAATGTAAAATCTCTAAAACCGACATTTCCTATGCAATGAACAATCATATTTAAGTCCTATACTTTTTGTAATTACATAGATTTTTTTATTAAATCTGTTATACTCATTATGAATAAAACCACCGTTTGTCAGTATATCGTTAGAAAAATCGTAACTAGTAATTTATATTTTTAATCTTAAACTGATTAAAGAATTTTATATAAAAACAATCTAGAGTGAAGTATTTAAAGAGCAAATTACTGCGTTTTTTTGTAGGTTTTGATTTAATTACTTGTTAAAAAATATATACATATCAGACTTATATAAAGAAATTCCAAAAGTTTATATTATTAAGAAAGTATTTCATTTTAGGTTTAAGATTAAGATTAGAAAAGAGTATTGTACAATGATTTTTTTTACCATGTTGCAACTTCATATAAAATTATATTGTAAGCTGTCTTTTCTAGATTTAGTTTAAAATGTTATAATGAATATTATTTAGAATCTTCGTAAATGAGTTTGTAATATTTTTGTAATATTATATATAACTTTTTTCTCATCATGTGCCTATAAATGTGTATGTCTTTTAAAATAAATTGTCATAATGACAAAATCTATATCTGCATATTTGCTGACTGTTTGCAAGTAATGCATCATAGACATGCATGAACAATCTCTCGAGGAATCTCTCATTCTTCACCATTAACTCTTTACGGATTAAAGTTTTTCGATTATATTTCTATTAATCTAATTATTTGAATATATAAATAATCTAACCGAATAAAATTAAATCGTTTATTGATGCAAAAGATCTGTTAAAAGTATTACATTTAGAGACAAATTTGAAATCTTCAATTTTAAGAAAATTTGAAAAGCTATTATAGACAAACAATATAATTTAGCGCCCGCGAAGAATTAATTGGAATAGAAAGAAAAATGCGCACTCACCTGCACTCGCAACGGGTGCATCATGAGAAGGTGCAACATATCTGTGGGCGGTAATAATTCGCGTAGAGTTGCTCCCTGCTGTCTGATTGCCTGGCACATGAACACTGCGAGATATCGATGAAGCGGAAGATGAAACGACACTTGTAAACTATCACTCTGAAGGAAGATAAAAAAGAACGTATAAATTATAAAGTATTGAAATATAATCTAAGTATGTACATATGTAGTATGAGAGTTGTACTCACTACATTCGGATCTGTATAGTTTACAGCATCGAGCCAATCTTGCAAAGCTGTAAGGCAAAAAGTAAGCACTCGTCGACTTAATGTCGCACTCTCAGGGCCACGAAGATGCGACACAAGAGCCCACATCGGATACGCGCTGGCTTCCAGTTCAGCACTGAATGCCGCATAATATGTATTGGGCTCAAACTCGACATGTTGACTTAATTCTCTCTGATTGACATTCATGCCTTGAAACATAGACAAGAAGTCGAACCACATTTCTAGGAGAGTATTATCGCTCATGAATTTAACAGCGACTGGCTTATGTGAGAGTACGTTGTTTAAATCAGATACTAATGGCCAGTAACAATGCTCCTTCATCACTTGACGTCCGCAATCCACAACATAATGGAAATTTTTATCCGGATCTGAAATAGAAATCTTCTTTTCAATCTTACTGTTCCGTTCAAGTGTGCATGCTAACTGTCTTTATTTTATTTTACTCATACATACCGTGCAAAGTGTTTTGAATGAGTATTTTGCTCATCATGTATTTCAAACTAATAACCATAACATGTAATAATTTCAATTGATCAACCATTCTTAATGCTAGTTTCTCGTTACTAAAAAGCTGAAAAATATAAAAATTTGAAATTAATTCGTTATGAAAACAAACTGCAAATAAAAATTTATATGTGTATGTCATAATATTTAATGACTGACAATTAATAAATACCTGTACGCTAACATGAACAACTCTATTGCTCAATGTATCAGGATCCATTGAACGTTCAAGCATCATCGAGATTCTGCTGTAGTGTAACACAAAGGCGCGAGTTAAAGCTTCTTTGTAATCGGGATCCGGCAACATGTTCAAAAGCAGACAGACTAATTTTTGCGGAAACTCGTAAGCGACGGTCCAGAACATTAGTTCTTCCAAGAAAGTGGTGTGTTCTAAGTGCTCTTGAAGCGACACACATTCTAAAAAAACAAATATGTTATAAGTCATGCATATACGTAAATTATTTTGTCGTAAAAATTGTTATTATTAATATTACCATGGAATTATACTGTAATATTAAATGTATTTACCTTTGTATTCATCTGGGGGTTCGGGATTTGGAAGCGATTTTACAGCATGTTGATATATTTTATTGCTATCTTGGCAATAGCTATCGTACTCCGATTGTCCCGTTAACACAGAAGGATCCATGAGACCTCGATATTTCTGCGGATTCGTGAGAGCTGATGTCATGACATGCCTCATTAATGCGCCCATATTGTTCAAGTCAAGCAACATAGTAAGATATGTATCTGCCTCATGTATAGCACTTTTTTGATCAGGCACTCCCATTTTACTAAAACATAAGCAAAACAATAATTAAGGCTATTATTAACATATATTAAATTCTATTCCAATTTAATTTCGCTACATTCAAGATCATTTTCAAGAGCTTTCAGGATCATTAAAAATGATAAGTTTATTAGGAATAGATCGGAGAATAGCATAAGCAAAAAGAAAGTATCATTCAGGTTGAATATGAGTAGGTGTAACTAAAGGATTTGCTGGAGTAAAATTATCAGGATCACTAAATATATATGGATATTGAAGAATAATGATAAAAAAAAATGATAAAGTAAGATTAAAACCTAATAAGTTTTTAAAGGTAAAGTATGGGTGGAATGGAATTTATAAATTTGATAAGTACAGTCTCTTTATCTCTTAGAATTAAAAATAAATATAAACATATATGTGAAAAAAAACTTTA